TCTCCCTTCTCTTTCTCTTTTTTTTCTTGCTCGCACGCATTTTGAAATAATCAAGTTTCACCATTTTTTGATAAACTAATCTCCACCGATGATGAATATTCGAAATAAGGCAAATATGTTAGTAATAAACAATTTAACAAATCACCCAGCACTCGTACTCACACCGTATTCAATTTATGAAAAAGATTTAGCGTGATAACGAAAGAAAAAAAAAAAAAGAAAAAAAAAACATGTGATATTGCATTCCAACATGCGAAATGAAAAAATACGGAGCAGATTCGTTATAGTTATAAATAAAGAAATATATATATATATATATATTATAGTTATAAATAAAGAAAGCATTCTCTGAATCGATAAAACAAGAAAAAAGAAAGTATTCGAAATCCGTTATTTAAAATATATGTAAACGGAAGAAAAAAATAACATGCAAAATAACAACTTCTACATAGCGAATAAAATAAAAAAATTGTCGTGATCAGCATACGAATTCTGAACACTATATAATCTATATAATCTATTAAGTACAAATCTTGTATTCGAAGTATATTTTATTACATTTGTACGGTAGATAATATAAAAATTTCGAATTAAACGATAAGAAATGAATATAATTTATAAATGGTTACACATTTTTATCGCATTATGCATTAAAAAGAAAAAAAATATACGTATAAATTTTTTTTAACAAGAATTTAACAAAATATCCGGAATATGATTCAAATACGAATACAATATTTGAACTTAAATAAATGGACCAAGCTCTTCACAGTCCTCCCTTGAATAAGGAACTACAAAGAGAAAGCGTTACAAACCATATACACATTTTATTTTTTATCAGTAGAAAGAAAAAATAGTACATAGGTAAAAACAAATGGGCCAGGAACCAATAAGCATAGATAAAAAAAATTTGTTGGCATAAGAATTTGAAAGTGAACTTTGCACGTTACAAAGAAATCGGAAGACGTAAGAAAGTATTCTAAAATTGTACTATTTTAAAATTGCAATGCGTGTGTATAACATTGTCCATAAAATATTTTTTACAGAAATATATTTATAATATAAAACTAAGTATAACTAACCACTAACATTTTATTTGCGATGATGACGATTATGATGATGATAATGATGTCATTAATAATAAAAATAAAAATAATAATTATAATATTATTAAATAATTGTAATAATAATAATGATGATGATGATAATGATGTCTCTGATGGTGATATTAACATAACAATAAAACAGCAGTAGCACTTATAATATTAAAAATTATGGTAATGAAAATAATAATAATAGTAATAATAATAAATGGTAGAGATAATGATGGTGATTACGTCGATGACGATGATAATTGATTGATGATGATGATAAAGACGATAATGATAATAGTAGTAGCTGTTATAATAATAGACTAAGAATATTAATGGCGATGACAACAACAACAACAATAACAACAACAGCAGCAGCAGCAGCAACAACAACAACAACAACAACAACAATAATAGTAGTAGTAGTAGTAGTAGTAGTAGTAATAGTAGTAATAGTAGTAGTAGTAGTAGTAGTAG